AAATAAGGCTCAGAGGAAAATGCATTGTTTTTTTGTGGTAAAAATTCTTGGCTGTTTATTCCAGCGCAGAGGAGATAGGTGCTGACCTCATATAGAGGGAACTACTGAGTGAGGGGCACCTTGCTCTTGACACCCACTCTTCAGATATTCATATACATTAATAAGGTCCCCTCTCAGCCTTGTTGTTTCAAGACTAAACAGCCCCAGTTCTCTCAGTCTCTCTTCATAGGAGAGATGTTCAAGTCCCTTCATCACCCTCGTAGCTCTCTGTTGGACTCTCTCCGGTAGGTCCCTTTCTCTCTTGGACTGGGGAGCCCAAAACTGGACACAGTATTCCAGGTGTGGTCTCACCAGGGCAGAGTAGAGGGGGATGAGAACCTCCCTAGACCTGCTGGACACACTTTTCTCAAGGCGCCCCAGGATCCCATTGGCCCTCTTGGCCACAAAGGCACGTTGCTGTCCCATGGACAACTCCACTAGGACTCCAAGGTCTTTCTCCAAGGGGCTGCTTTCCAGCAGGACGGCCCCTTATCTGTCCTGGTACCTGGTGTTATTCCTCCCCAGATGCAGGACTCCACACTTGTCCTTATTGAACTTCATGAGGTTCCTTTGCCCAGCTCTCCAGCCTGTCCAGGTCTCGTTGGATGGCAGCACAGCCTTCCTGGGTGTCAGCCACCCTTCCCAGTTTCGTATCATCAGTGAACCTGCTGAAGGTGCACTCTATCCCCTCGTCAAGGTCGATGAAGATATTGAACAAAACTGGACCCAGTGCTGATCCCTGGGGAACACCACTGGCCACAGGCCTCCAACTTGACTCTGTGCTGCTGATAACCCCATTAGAGTCAATAGAAATCCATTTAAGAACTCAAGGTAGAATTTGGCTCCTAAACATGGACATCTGGTTTAACTTTGGTCACTGTGGACTATCCCCATTTGGCTTCAAGCTGTTTTGCCAGAAAGTTGTGAGTCTCCTATAAAATGTCATGCCTGCCAGTCTCATGCAGATGCCTCAGATATCTAGAGCATCTCAAATGGCAGTAGGTACCTACCTGTTGGCAACTGAGTTCTTAGTGGAGTCTGAAGTGCAGCTTCACCCACCTTATAGTAGGTACCTGCTGTTTCAGCTGAATGGCTCTCTAAGCACCCATGGCTTTATTGAATATATCTTTCCCTGACTGTGTGGTGGGAACTTAGATGCCTGGTACATGTGTACCACAGTACAGTATTTAGATGTTTTTTATGCTGAGCTGAATTCAGCCCTGAAACTATGAACAGCTGTTGGTTTGAGATGTATTTGAAGAGTAGGGCTAGAAATAGAGGCTCTAGACAAGTAAAAAAGTGGAGAATTGCTAGGGGTAAAAGCAATTAGAGTTGGATTTGAAACTCAGAATGAGATGGAAAAATCAGAAGACTAAAATTTGGACTTGTCAGGACAAGAATGTGGGGCTAGTATAAGGAGCAGAAGTAGTGGAAATTGTAAATAACTAAGGAGAGTAAAGCTGAAACAAACCAAAGAGGGGTAGAGAAGTCCCGAGACCAAAAAGGACAAGACAGAAGTAATATCTGGAAAGACTGGACAAGCAAATGAACAGACAGTTGGTAAATATTCCACCCTTTTCTGCTTGGTATGAAACTTATATTTCCAAAATTTTACCATTCCTGTTGTCAGCGGGTGCCTTTGACTATGTTTGCCACAGAAACAGGAGCAATACAATAGAAGAGAGTTTCTAGAAATAAATAGTAAATGGTGAGGAGGATCTGATGTCCTCAATGTGGGCATCTCAGAGGCTTATTGCCAACCAACAGTTGTCTGGTCCCATGGACTGACTGCTCGTTAGTGGCTGGAGCTCACTTAAGTGTGATCCTGAAGAGCATCTTTGCCTTAGTTTCAGTTGAAAGGAGTTCATACACTCCAAGACTATTCTGTGATGTGAACCAAAGCATGGTAAAGCTGGTCAAGCATGACATTTGCTTCAAAAACACGCAGTAGATCCAAACTAAATTGCTGATTTCAGTGCTGGACACCCCCAGTGTGACACCCATCAGGAAGGCGTCCCATGTTCCTCTGGCCAGAAGCTGACAGTGGTTGGTACTTCCTGCAATTGCACCATTACCTTAAGGGAGGGAGGCCTAAAGCAGCGACGTCATTCATATTTTTCATAGATGGTCACAGTTTGTCCTCACTTTTCTGATTATCTCATTTAAGACCTTGAAATCTGATTTACAGGCAGATACAGAGTGTTTCTGAGCACCCACAAATGAAGTTTAGGAGTGCTATCCCTTGAGCATGACCAGTACTCTAATGCTGCGCACCTGCTCTAGGTGTTTCTGTCTACACTACAGACTTTCAAATTAACGTATGTAGTTTGACATTAATTTCTGTGCTCCCCATCTGCAAAAACAGATAAAAGTGGCCGCCAAAGTGGTGCAAAACTAAATTAATAAATGCGAGCATGAAAATCCCATAGTGGTGCATGCCAGAGGAATGCACATAAAAAAACAAATTCTGTCTGTAAACCGTGAAATATGTAGTAAATAAATCCTCAGGCCACACACGGATTTTAAAACAAAAAATACTATCAAATAGCAGCTCATCAGCTGAACGTCATCCTGTCAGTGGATTGAATGAGTCAGGGATCCTTTGGATCGTGCAGTGAAAGATTAAACCATAATGCAAATAAACCAGAGGCAAGCTAAGAATGCACATAAATCCTTTGTTTAGGCATTTCCAAATCTGTGAGTTCTCAAGTTTACAACCCTACCTGGAGAGTAGCCCATTTCGCAGCTCATGCAGACTAAGCCAAGAATTTTATCCACCTTTGCAAGTGTAAATGGCTTACATGTAAATGACATCTTTTTCTAAATGATCACATGATGAGACTCTACAACTAGCCTTCCAAATTATCTATTAATTTCAAGGACTACTCCATTAATGGAGTAATTCAATTTCTTTTTTTCTCAGTTTCATTATCTTTATTTTTGTATCTGTTGGTAATGGGGCCCAGGGTTAAACATAATTCAGTCAGGTGTTTGGCTTTCAGGAGGCCTGAATGCAGCTGGCCATTTAACGTTGACTTTTTTGAAGAGTTTTTATGAGTGTGACATCCTGTGATTTACGAATCAAAGACAGAATCAAAAGAAATTTCCTGGTAAAGCAAACGACATACTTTGTTTCCAGCAATTAGTGAGTGACAAAGGAAACCAATAATGTTGGTTTATGTTCTATGTTTTATGTATGTATAGAAGTATAACTTGGGTTGGTGTCTATGCAACTGAGATTTTGGACAGAGCCAATAGTAATGTCCAAGATTTGGGTGCACTTCAACAAGAAAAAAACGAGTTAGACAAAAACTTGTAACATTTTGTGAAATGCAGTCTGGGCTCTTAGCCCACCTCTGCCCCAGTGGGTGCGTTTCTTTCTGTTCCACATGGCTACAAAAATGATGGAGCTGAAGATTTTTGTGATGAAAGTAAAACTTCTTCTCCTCTAATTTATGTTAGCAGTGCTCAATTTTTCACTGAAGTACAGAAATGAAATATAGAACAAATGAGAGTAGTGGAATGGGGCCAAGCTCTGTGTGATATTTAGGGCAATCGACATCATTCTGGTACCTGCATTCAAACATTTTAGCATAAAGAGTCCACGACATTAATCTTCTTCCTGTGTCGTTTTAAATCCACTGGTTTTTACTCTCTCCCAGACAACCACTCTCCCTTCAAATACTTCATTGAAATTGAAAAACATAACTAGAGCATGCAAAGTTGAGATGAAAATGGGGGAAATGATGACTTGAGAAAGAGTGACATTCAGGGTTTCTCAGGGAGAAAAAAGACACTCCATTGAATATGGTATTTGCTTGGAATTTATGACTTTTGTGTTTAGGTGGGCCTTGTAGCACCTGCTTCATGTGTGTCATTGAACAAGGTTATCAGGGCAAGATCAAAACAAAATGGACTTTGGTAGAATTTTAGTTCCACGTTACAATCCAAAAGAAAATTGCTCATTGATCTCCGGCAGGTGTCTGTGCTCTACATGGGCGACTCTTCACAAAGATAAGACAGAGAGTTGGGATTGTTCAGCCTGCTGAGAAGAGAAAACTACAGGAGACCTTACTGCAGCCTTTCAGTACATACCAGGTCAGGGTAGACAGGGCTCTCAGCAAGCTGATCTAATTGAAGATGTCAGTGTTCATTGCAGGAGGCTGGACTAGATGACCTTTAAAGGTGCCTTCCAACCCAAGCTATTCTATCATTCTAAGATTCTATGATTATAAAATTCCCCAAGCAAAAAAAAAAAAAAAAGAAAATTGCGTCTGAGAATGGTCATAATTGCTGTTATTCTGACATGGCTGAGTGGATCATCTCTAGTTTACATCTAACATCAAGGTGAACAAAATTAGGTTCTCCACCACCTAAGAACCCAACCAGGCAGGTGGTTTGAGATCATGTCTAGCAGATTTCAGTAAGACCAAGCTACTCATAAATGTGGAGTAACCTCCTACTTTCTCTTAGTTTATATCCAGAAGAAAGCCATAAAAGTTAGCCCCTTCAGCTGGAACAAAATGTCAAGTTTACTGGTAATTTTGTTATTTGATTAAATAGCTAGAAAGTTAACAAAGAAAACAGCTACTAGCTAGAGAAGACACAGAAGCTTGCCTGGTTAGGGGTGGACCTCATGGAGAAGAAGATGTTTTGACCCATAGTAACAAATTTCTGAAGATAGCCAGACTTTTATCAGCAGGTCTCTGTTTTCGTTGTTAAGCTTGTATTGTGTTCCGTAGTTTTACAGATAAGGAAACTGAGTCACAGAGCATTTAATTGGCTTCCTCATAATTGCAGACTTGGAAACAACCAAGAACTACCAACTTGCTATTCCTCACAGTGTATCTTGGATCATGAAGCATCGTTTATTTCTAGATAATTCAGTGTTCTTTGTTTGGATATTAGTTGCTTCATTAGTAATTTCTCAAATTAATGATTTGATATGCTTTGATTTCTAGCTGATTTTTTACTATGGAACTGGAGACAGCTGGTGTCCACAGCACTACTATGATGAGATCAAAATGGATTTTCCGGACGGGGACATTCGACTTTGTGAGAAAGGGCTCCGCCACGCCTTTGTGCTAGATGCCAGCAAGGAGATGGCTGCCATGATTACAGACTGGCTACAGGATGATCTGACCAAATTATAAACACGGATTCAGTGATTAACAGGAAAAAGATGTAATTATTTTGTGAACGTGTAATTTTTTGTGAGAGAGTCCGTCCTATTTTTTTTTCTGTTTATTATAGATTATGGCTTGTTTTCTATTGAGATGTTTTAGAGAAAGCTAAGAGAGACTGGCTGGTCCAAAGTATAGTTTTATTGATTCACTGGTGATGCACCTGCATCCTGTGTCTTCAGGACTCTGCAGGACTTGGCTAACAGTGGAATATTTATTGTCTGCTAGCACTCTAGTCGACACTGGCACTAGATTCACTGGCTACGGGTGTACCTCAGTTAGTACCACCTGCCTCACCTGTCCAGGTAACCCTGGTGCGTGGCAGCCAGAAGAGCCCAAGGCCCCAGGACAACCCTGACGTTGTCTCCTGCCAGCTCTGGTGGGGTTGGTGGTCAGTCAGAGGTCAAGCTGAGCTGAAGATGAGTACAAGAAAGACATGTGGATGAGGTGTGCCATTTCTCCAAGTCTAGGAAAGGGGTTCAGGTGCTGCCAGGACTCTACAGGATATTAAAAATACCATAAGATAAGGTAACTCTGGCTGCTCAGTGTGGAAATATCTATGGAGCTCTTGTCTGGAACATGGCCAGGTATCTCATTATTCGATTGACTGTGGAGAAGGTAAAGAATGCTGTTTGCAAGTGCCAATATTAGGAGGTTGAAATGGACTGAAGAATCCATCTAGAACTACTTATTGATGTCCCAGCGCTCGTAATGAAGCGCAAGTGAACAGTGCTTGCTCAGCAACTTTAAAGAATTAAATCAGGTTTGATGCATGTCTAAATTTCAGTTCTTTGCTCTAAGGACTGAAGTCTGTGATTCTGTCACATTTTCTGCCAAGGCACAAATGAGATAAATCCACTGTGAGAAAATGGCTGTTACTCTGCCACGATTGCACCCATGAAATGGCATGAAATGTTGCTACTGAGAACCAGGTACTTGCTATAGCACATTGCTGACAAGTACGCTGTTCCTCACATTTGTTCATCACTCTCTTTTAGAGATAGCCAAAAAATAAAATGAAAAATCCTACTGATTTTGATAACAGAAGAAGTTAGAGGTGATAGCTAGAAATTAAAATAGTGTCAGAAGAACAGAGCCAGGTGTAATCAGGAGTTTTCTAGCCATGAACCTGTGAAATAGTCTCCCTATGGAGTTCATAGAGACATTTACAAATAAACAAAACACTGCGGAATATAGTCAGGGGGAAGTTCTGCCCTTGCAAACAGATGAGTTTAGATGATGCACTCGGTATCTAACTTACATGATTTATTAAAAGTTTTAATGTGGTACTGATGAGAATTGTACTGGAATACATTCTCTGTGATGCAGAAATACCAAATAATTTCTTATTTTTCTCACACAATTATATACACACCTTCCACTTCTTTCTAAATCCCACTTGAACCTTCCACTAGTATTTAGGGCAGTTTGCAATAGAACTCAGTGTTTCAGACTGGTTTTCAAACCTGCTGACAGGCGGTGGATTTAAGTGATCTTCTCTGCATCAGAAACTTGTTTAGCTTTTGAGACTAACCAGTGGATTTTCCAGTTATGCTGCCCCATAATGAAGCAGATACTGATGCTTGAGGCAGAAACATTGAGGCCACAGTCGCAGCAACGTGGGGAGGAACCAGACGCGTTCGAAGTGAAGGGTCTGTGCCCGTGCGACCGATTGTGTTCATTGGAGGGGCACGGGACTTTCCTTCTTTCTACAAGGCCCTATTCCATCATGATCAAAACAATTCTTTTCCTCATTTTAGTAATCCATAGTTGTGTCCCTGTGTGTTTAAACAGCCCCTCTGATGTTGGCACGCGTCGCTGTTGGATGGGCTTCGGGCAGATGCTGAATGCATCTGTTGGCCAAGGTGCTCCCTGAGGCAGAGTGAGGGGCAAGGGTGAGTGTTCACATACGTGGAGATATATATGTACACGTATATATACATACATGTGCACGTGTTTGTATGCTAGCAACATGAAAAACACAGTTTGCTTGGGTTTGTTTTACACATTGGTCTGGTTGAGCAAAACATTTGATCTTCCAAGTATGTGGAATCAGGTAAATGAGCAAGGACTCAGTTTGTAAAAGTTCAACTGTTGCAGTGGATCTCCTGAGAACAGAAGAAATCTTGAGTTAACCAAAGATGATAAGCAACTATTAAAGCCTGGAAACTGAAGCACCTATGAGAAGCAGTTGTTTACAGTGCATTATTCGTATACTTTCTATGAGGAATTAATTTAGCAATACTTGTACTTGACTTGTGTATGCCTTTTATACAAACGTTAATCCATTATAATAAATCCTACTGACTGCATTAAGACCTAAACTGAGATTAGATCTGGTTGTCGCTGACCAGATCTACTGCAGGGTAATGCCTTACAATTTTCTTAAATGAATTTTCTCTAAGATTATCAAAACCATATTGATTGAATTGCTACCTTTCTCCTAGAAGCTGTTACGTAAGGCTTGGATCTGGATACTCGATTCTTTGCAAAAAAAAGTACGGGTCTAGTTTTCACAGCTGTATTTCCTAAGAGGAGCAGATCTCACACAATGTGAATCCAGCTCCTCCGAAGCCCTTGGTGTTCACCGTGACCCCAGGCAAAGTGTCAAAAGTGCTGATGGTCCAAATGTGCCAATTTACCGTGAAAACACAGTGTGGTCTTGCCTATTTTAGACTATTTTAGACTTCTTGGGAACCTATCGCAAAAGAATTGACTGTATGCAGTAGCACCTAATCTCTTATCATTCAGATTTGTGCTTAATCCTCACCACGTAGGTAATCCTGCTAGCTTCAATGACTGTGACTCATGTTCAAGTGTTTGCTAGACTGATACCTTTTATGAAAAAGTACACAACTCCAATAACAAAAATAAAGACATTTATGGTAAAATGTAACTTGATCCTTTATTCTGATAACTTGTTTAATCTTAGTTCACCTTCTTCGTTACTTCAGGCTTGCAAAATTTTCAATACTTGGCCAAACCCCAAATTTCACATGCAATACAGACATCTGCTAAGCGCAAGGAAAATCAGTGGGTGGTAGGCACCTGACTCACTTGAGCATTTTTATCCAGAGCCACTCCAAAATAATCAGTGTTTCCCATTGCTCCCTCCAGCTCTGTGTTTGCTGCTTTGCATGAGCTATAGAGTGTGGATTAGTGAGGTTTGTCCCTTCAGGAAGCTTGATGAGTGCTTGCCCAGTGTTTATGGTGAAGAATTTGGAGTTGGACTCCAAGCTAAACACCAGTTTCTGCACTCACAGGAGACAGATTGCATACATGAGCCACAACAGATAATCTCTTCTCTGCAATTGAGGTCATTTAACATATTTATTTCACAGAAAATGGGTTTATACGTGCATCCACTTCCCGTCCCTTCGTTTGGTCTAGCTAACTGCCAGCAATGACTTTAAACAAGATGTTCAATGTTATCATTAAGACGGTTGCTCAAGCTATTAGTAGGTTTGGATAAACTTACTAGACCCAAGAGACTTGTTTCACTCTGTGTCACGGGTCACGCTCAGACTTCCAACTACAGTAAGTTTCTGAGGCTCTTCACTTGGATGCAAATGTTCTCTTGCATGTCACATTCACCAAATAAGAATGCAGAGAGCATTTCTGAGTGACCAGGAACTGTTAAAACAGCATATATGTCTGGAACAGCTGATGGGGTTTGAGTACAAGCAGCAGATAAAGCAGTAACAGGACGAGCCAGCTGCCAGAAGCCATCGTTGCTCTCAGTCGCATCATGCAGAAGTTATGAAACGGGCTAACACGCAGGCTTGGATGGGACAGGCAGGGAGAGATTTCATTAGAGACTGTTTTCAAGTGCTTAAGCTCACAGTAAATGATCTAGAAGTGCTTAAGCTGATGGTGAATGGAGTAGGTTTTTCCATTCTGTGCACTGCGGGAACGTGCTTCCAGGGAGGTGATTGCATTGTGGAAAGTAGTCTGCAGTGGCTGTTGTTTAAAACATCCGACTCACTCTGTGTCTGACTGTGGTGTTTTCCGGTTGGACGCTCAAAGTAGATTTTTTTGCCATCCCATTTGAAACACTCAACAAAAAGCAGAGGAGGGTGCCCCTCATTTTCACAGTTTATGAACATCTTCAACAAACTTCCCTTAAAGCCTCCAAGCTCTAAAAATATGCTGTGCTTAATGGAAATCCTTGTGTATGATGGCTTGGAGTTGGGGAAAAAAGGCTTTCCTGGTGCCAGACCCCAGCTACACCTTTAAAATTTGATAAGGAGCCAGCTGTTCCAATCTGTTAGAAACGGGAATACAGTTTACAGAATATAAAAGTTTTGAAGTATTAATGTCATCTGTTCTCATTGTGCAGGAGGTACTGCAAGTCGTCAGTGTGTGTTAGGAAGGAACCCATAATTTTACCCACAGAAAAAAGCCCTAGGATTTTAAGCATTCATAGTGAACTGGAGCATGTAACTCCAATTACAGATCCAATACAGCTTCAATAAAGCCTACAGGATTGCACCCAGGCTTAGGGAGACCCAAGTGATCAATTGACAGAGACTAGGACAGCAGAGGTGACGTGATGTGAACAAAGAGCTTCAGTACAAAAGTATTCCCTGCAAGGCAGGAGTCTCCTTTTATCCTTGTTTCCACCAACACAGGACAGTCCAACATAGCGGAACTCCTGTGGAATTAATGAAATGAAACATGCCAGCTAGTATCAGTTACTGAAAATAAGATAAAATTCTCATATTTGAATACTTTGGGACTTCAATTATGCCTCACATCAAACACAATTCCCAGTGATCTCTCCAAGTTGAACTGGTCTCATTACAGAAAACTCCATGGCATGGTATGTGAGAGACTTCAGGTAAGTCCTGAGCAGATGCTGGAGCCTGGTCTAAAACAGAAGTTAATACAGACATTAAAATTAATTTCACTGGACTTTGGATTCGGTGCTAAGAGGAAAACCAGTGCTCCAAGTAGAATAGACCTGGTTC